TGTTAGGGCCCGGATCTCCGCTCGGCACGGCGCACCCCCTCGCTGGCTGCGCCCACTGAGCCTCACGGCCGAGCTTCTGGCATCAGAAGCTGTCCCGCGGTGGCCCCGTATCTCGGGAATTGGGGAAACGGGCGTCTGTGAGTCAGGGCTGGACGCTCCTGCCCTGGAGTCAGGCAGGCCAGCGGGACAGGGCGAGGAGGACGTGAGAGGGACTTGCTCATTCAGAGGCCACGTGGCCAGGACTGAGCGTCTGGAGGCCTCGGACACCTGACCTTAAAATGTGCTCTTCGAGGGCAGTGATGGAAATCAGGAGCCCAGAGCAGAATGGGAGGAGAGAGTCCTGAGGGGCAGGAGCCCATGGCTGTGAGTCAGCGCAGATCAACGCCATGGCCGAGGTACCCGCCGGCTGAGGGTGCAGGCCAAAGACAGCAGACACAGGCGACGCCTGAAGAGCACGAGCGGGTTGCCGCCCTCCAGCGCAGGGGCACCCAAGGGCCACGGCCCCACGAGCTCCGACAGTGACGCCTGCACTACACCAAAGGCTAGCAGCAAAGAGACTTCCAGAACTAGCCCCGAGCAGGAAGGAAGTCCTGACTGCGTTTGTATGAAGCCACCAGCGGCCACTTACTATGCGTCTAGATTACCAGCCCTCTGTGGAGGGCAATCATACTTAATCCACCTGTGTCCGAGGGCTCCAGCTTAGGAATGTCATTGGAGGTCGTTTTCGGTCACATCTGGGGGCCAGTTCCTCTCATGACTTGGCAAGTCCGAGGACAAAGGGGGCATCGCCAAGGCCTTCCTCCGGCCCACACCGAATCATCGAAGCTGCAAAAACCAGGCGTCTGCGTCTCACCCTCGGAGATTCCTACGCAGTTGGCCTGGATTTAAAAACTCTTGGGAAACAGGATTGTTTCAAGCGCCCAGTGCACACAAAGGTGAGAACCACATCCCGGAAGGAAGGTGCTTGGCTTTGCATCACCCCAAAGGTAATGAGTATAAAGGATTTTCAGCAACAATCTCCGCCGGCTCTAATTTAAGGTCTTAAAGCTCCCCTTTGCTCACAGAACGAAGAGCGCCCCCCCCCGCCCCCCCGAATGTGAAAGTGAAATGACAACCCCAACAGGTGACTGCTTGCCGATACCACTTCCAGAGCAGGCAGCGGCAGACCCAAGATGTCCGTGCTGCCTCCTCGGGAAGACATTCCAAAACCCACAATCTGTTCCTCGGAGATTTCCATTCCTACCCTCCCCACCCCCTCCAGATGCGCATACAGATGAATACAAGGAGATGGGAACAGAAAGATTGGCAGGAGGCCTGTTACTATGGCAGCGAGTAAATGAAATGCCAAAGCTCATGAAACTGATAGGGAGAGCAGGAATCAGGTGGCCATCCCAGCCACCTGTCTTGCTGACGGCTCTCCTTCATGCACAATTCAGTCCCCTGCCTTCGCCTGATGTTTCAACCTCCTCGGAGAGGGAAGAGGACACAGAGTGAGTGACAGGGAGACCAGGGAAGGATTTGACTCTCTTATGACTAAAGGGTTATGAGAAAATTCTACCCAGATCTGGTGAGGCTTCTAAACATCTGTGTATGAGATTGGCGAAAATATCAGTTAGTTGACTCATCTAAAAAGGCACCAACAGCTGAAACCGGTTTGGCTCAGTGGATAGGGCGTCGGCCTGCGGACTGAGAGGTCCCAGGTTCGATTCCGGTCAAGGGCATGTACCTTGGTTGCGGGCACATCCCCAGTGGGGAGTGTGCAGGAGGCAGCTGGTCGATGTTTCTCTCTCATCGATGTTTCTGGCTCTCTATCTCTCTCCTTCCCTCTCTGTAAAAACTCAATAAAATATATTTAAAAAATAAATAAATAAATAAAAAAAATAAAAAGGCACCAACAGAATCAGAAATGTGGGCTTTGAAGAGAGTCGGACTGGCATGCGAGCTGCACAACAGACCAAAGGCGTGTCCGCCGGCTGGGCCAAATCTTCATTCAGTGGTGGAGGAGGCACGGAAGGTGCTGCACTGCTCTGAAGAGCAGGGAGGAGGAGGTATAAAAGCAGAGGTTACAGGGACCCACCACCCTTCCAGATGCAGCCCCTTCCTAGTGTCCCCTGCTCTGCAACCCCAATGGGTCCCTTCCATTCCACACGTCCTGCAGGGTGACTGCTTAGGAGCACACCTCCTTCCCCCACCAGGCCCCTCCAGGCTGCATCCACCTCACCTCACCACAGGCTGAGACGCAAAGGCAGACAAGCACCCTAATGGTCTGATGGAGACATAAGCCGACGAGGAAAGGGAGAAGTGAGAGGTGAGAGCTCTAACTGTACTTCACTCAACCAGCAAGGAAGACAGGACGAAGCCAAGTCATGAGGTCTGAGGACAAACAAGAACTGTTGCAGAGGAAAACAGCAACATCTGGGGGTGGGTGGGGGAGAGGCAGAGATGCACACTGCAGCTACAGCACAGTCTTTTCATCAACACCAGCTGCAAGCTAAGGAACCAGGAGTAAACAGGTGAAAGACAGAAACAGAAAAAAAAGACATGGTGGAGACTCATAAAGGTGCCTCCAAACATCTAAATCAAGACTCTTGGTCCAGAATAAAAAAATAAAAATAAAACAGTGGACGTTCACCTTCTAGAGTGTGCAGGGAGTATCACAACAATAAACCCGGACTGTGGAAGCGATGACAACTTCTGGAACCGGAGTTAGCAAGCGCCATGCAGAGGCACGAGGCCTTCACGGAGAATCCGCCACTGGCTATGACAATGAGCCCTCAAAGCAGAACTGGGAGGAAAGTCAGGGTGTGGCCGCCTCCTTCTGCCCGATCTGTTTCTCCTCCCCACAGTCTCTAAGAGCAACAGCATCACCTGGAGTCTACAATCAACTTGGAGGCCACATGCAAAAGGGGATATCAACTGCCTCAAAATTATCCAAAAAAAACTTAAAAAATCAGTTTTGCACCATCATACTAATAACTTAAGCAAGAATTACCAATGGATGCTGAAGGCGGGGATTCAAGTTTAATGAGGAACAAGTCACTTACAGTCTCCAATGATCTCCCCACAAATTACTTATTACCAAAAGGCAAGAGTAGATTGACAGCAGACAACCAGGCAGACACCATCTAAACCAGCGGTTGCCAACCGGGGGTCCGCGAACCACTGGTGGCCCATGAGGTCCGAAAGGTTGGCGATGCTGATCTAAACCACGTGTCCAACCTGCTGTCAACCATAATGGGACATGTCGCACGCCCCCCCGACGGGAAGCAGCAGGATGGAGTGCTTCTGTTGTCTTCCTGCCCAAATCCAGTGACTTTAATCGTGAGGAAGGGAACAGATCCCACCTGAGGGGGGCAGTCGCAGAATGACTGTCTTCCAAACGTCAAACACCTCCCTCCCTGAGAGACGAGGAAAGGTCGAGAAACTGACCCAGGCTACAGGAGACGGGTGCAAACACTAAATGCAATGGACTGGCCTCTGAAACAGCAACAAAACTTTGCTATAAAAGGACATAATTGAAAAAGCAACGTTTGAATACATTTTAAAAGTGTACCATTATTACTTTCCAGATTTGGGTAATTGTATAGCATTTAGAGGAGTGACTGTCCTTATCTTAGGAAATACCCATGCCATGTACTGAGTCGGGGGAGGGGAATGATGTTTGCACCTTAGGCTCACACAGTTCAGAAACGTGTGTGATGAGAGAAAATGCCAGAGCTAATGTGGTCAGACATTAAATCAGCTACTGGCGAACCTCGATGACGATTCCTGGCTTCTTCACACTATTCTTACAACTTTCCTACACCTTGAAATCATTTCAAAACTACAAGTCAAGAACACGATGGATATTTTTATTTCCTCACTGAGCTACATGTACCTCAATTCTCAGTCAGTGTCTGTGAGCCCGCGTTCACGCCGGTCAGCGGAAGCGGGCCCTCACTGGAGCCAGGCAGGGCCAAGGAGAGGAACAGTGTACAAACCCCACTCTGAGACCACACACTGCAAAATGACACATGTTCACACTGAAAACACTCAGCCACAGAAATGTCAATTTTTCATTTTATTCAAAGTTGGTACATAAGTGCTAACATTTCCATAAAATAATTACTATACTTCAGTTACAGGACAAAAATACCACAGAAAGGAATATACTTTGCAAGAAATGTAGTTCATCTTAAGTTTCCAAATACTTTTGAAGGCGAACGCAGCAGCTGGCAAAATGACACACAGTACACAGAGAACAGTGTATTCTACAGAGTCAGGGATGAGAACTGACAGCTCTTTAGCAGATCTGCTTTTTTTTTCTTTTTTTAAACAATAATACTTTTAAAAACACATGAAACCAAGATCATACATGTCTACAATTTTATAAATCAGATTGTATACAGTAGGCTAAAATAGTCAAGCTAGAACTGTCATGTATGGTTAACAATCCTAAATCTACAATCTCAATTGTATTCCTTTCAATATGTAAATAACCTGGTTTAATCAAATTCTACTTTCTGCTTGTAACTAAAACATTGTATGAGATAGACCCAACTAGTTATAAACCTTTAAAAAACAAAAGCTGTAGACAATGAAGGGTACACTGGAAATCTATTTACAATTCAAAAAACTCACCAATAACTCAGCACATTCATTTATGATTCCATTTGGTCTACAATGAATAAGTGATGAGTTGATACATGTACACAATACACACTACACACCTCAGTGCGCAGGTGGGTCTCTCAACAGGAGTCTGAAGGAAGCATAAAGGCAGGACACTGGGAAGACATTTTCAATGTGGACGTCTTCTAAAAACGCGTTAATACTTACATATCCAAGTCATTAGACAAAGCCGCAGTGCTCCGCTGACACTGGCTTGAGAGTGAAGAAATGGAGGAAGCATCTCACTGGACACTAAACAGGAGTTGGTTTCTTCTTGAAGAAGACTACTGACCTTTGCACAGCAACTGTGTTTGAAATCCACCTCATCAAACAAACAAAAAGCACTGAGAAGCCAACACGGTTCATGTGATTGCCAACGTGTGTCTGGGCAACAGAAAACAGGATGTCCAAGCAAAGAATGGCAAATCCCGCTCTATTTCTGAACTCTGTTGGCAATCCACACACGGAAGCAGTACTGGTGGGGAAGCAGGGAACGATTCCATACCATCATCTAACGTAACATGTCATTATTAAAAAAAATAAAGCTTTTGTATTGTAATAACCCCACAGAAAAATCCATGAGCAAAAGACTTGTTGATCTGTTTGCCACTCAAAAGTTAGAGATCTCACAGTGAAATCAGCAGTTTCTATTATACATATTTACACAGCGAGGCCTCCTTCACCTAGACTAATTAAAGCAATCTTCATGGAATTATAAACAAAAGATAGTCTGACAAAAGAATCTTGCACAGCATTAAGTTCTCACACACACCTGCGTTTAGAAGCAACATGTAATGTGCAGAGCACATACTACAAGAGACGACCAGGGCCTAGCTGCCTTGCCTGACCACCGGCTGCCGGCCAAGGTGCTCCTCAGACCTGTCCTCTGTCCTGCCTTTCTGGCGCTCCCCTCTCTCAGCCCGAAGCCTGAGGCTTTACCTTCTAGACCAGGGGTCCTCAAACTTTTTCAACAGGGGGCCCGGCCCATTCACTGTCCCTCAGACCGTTGGAGGGCCGGACTATAGTTTAAAAAAAAACTATGAACAAATTCCTATGCACACCGCACATATCTTATGTTGAAGTAAAAAAACAAAATGGGAACAAATACAATATTTGTATTTGCATGTGGCCCGCGAGCTGTAGTTTGAGGACCCCTGTTCTAGATAAAGTGGAGGGATGTCCGCTACTTCCTGCGGGAGGAGAATCTCTCCCTCCAGGTGTCAGGTGAACCCTCCTAGCACCTGTCACATTAGTGTCCCCAGCTTCAATCCCATTCCGGGTATCAGAGTTCACCAAGTCTTTCTCTAAGAAGACAAACATACAAAACAGAGTGGGAGCAATGGTAGTTACTTCTCCCCATTCTGAGTTTTATCTTTTGACATATAGGCAAAAGCAAAGACAAAGATATCCTTGTTCATTCTTTTTACAGAAAGCATTTTTAATGACTTCAGAGATAGAGAGGGAGAGTGAAAGAGAGAGAGAGAGAGAGAGAGAGAGAGAAACAATGATAAGAGAATCATGGACTGGCTGCCTCCTGCACACCCTACACTGGGGCTGGAGCCCACAACCCAGGCATGTGCCCTTTCCCAGGAATTGAACTGTGACCTCCTGGTTCATAGGTCGACCCTCAACCACTGAGCCACGCCAGCCGGGCTCCGTATTCATTCTTGATAAACAGGAACTATTCAGGTAGAGAAAGTCAGGGTAAGGTAAGGACAATGCCAAGCAGAACCAAACACACCGTTTTCTTCTTTTGCTCACTCACTCACTGACTGCATTGATCTGGTCTTGAAGCAGGGAATGGGACAGGCAAGAGAACCCCGCGATCCTCACAGCCACCGTGAAAAGCAAGGCGCTCATCTGGGAGCTCTCAGAATTAGTCTGGTGCTAGGACACCTGGGTGAAATTCTGCTCTATTACCATGAAGTGCCCAAGCAGAGCGAAAGTCAAGGTAACGTCACCCCTTCCACACAAACCTACAGAAAGATGAAAGGCAAGTGGGAGTTGCCCTGTTAAAATAGGGAATTTCTCCACATTTTCAGGGCAGTATTCATGGGAGATTAAATATCCTTAAGCTTTAAGATCAAAACAAATAAACCATCCAACCTCCAATAGCTCTGCAGCACAAGTTTGTCAAGCCGTTCCACCCACCAAAAACCAAGTCTGTCCTTGCTTCTTTGCTTCCAGATTGTGGGAAAGAGCCCACAGCCCCCACGGTAGCTGGTGATCCTCAAATAAAACTTTTGTATGCTCTCCCTCCACCAACATACAAACTTCCTCAGGTGACCACACTGAACTGCTTATCCTTTGGAAGCCATACGTCATTGTCGAGGGCTTTCAATACTGTGGTCCCATCCTAACCCCAAACCCTGGCGGGTTCTATGGCTGGCACTTGTGGGATACTGAGTACTGTTACTCTTGTGCTTACTACATGTGGAAACACACGTGTGGACAGGATTTTGTGCTTTCTATGGGTCTCTGCCCTTTTCCCTATCATGGAATGTGAACTGCTGTCACATACAGGTTCTCAGATACATCTATCAACCCTATACTGGATAATGATAAAGTTAAGATATACTCACAAAATTAATATAAGAACCTTACTTTTTAATTAAGGAAATAACATGTGCAATAAATAATATTTAAGCTGCAACACCAATTGGAGCTACCTGGTTTCCTTGAACCTAAATAAAGGCTGCATATAAGGTACGTAAATATTAATGTCCTTTTTTTTTTTTTTTTACTTCCCTCACTAAAGCTGTAACAAAATTTAAAAAGAGAAACTAACCCATTTCAATCAGGAAAAGGAAAGGTGTGAACTGGCAGTCAGCACTGGCACCCACAGGCACTAGTCACAACACAAAGCTCAGAAGCAGATTCGATTCCAGACGCGCTACAGACTGGCCTTTGACAACTTGGGATTTCAGTAACAGCCATGAGTTTAATTTGTTTCCCACTATAATAACAAAAAAGTGAGTTATTAAAAACGTCCCGCTTAAAGAAGTCTAGGCTACACTGATACTGAAGAATTATCCAGACCAGTTAGCCCAGAGGCCATTCACAAAAAGGAAACATTCCTTTCTCCACAGCACGAGGGCACACGGTGAATTCACCGAGGTAAGTCAGTCTCCAATAAGGCTGTGGTCATCTACTTCAACTTGTGCTATTGCCAAAGTCACTGAAATATGTATTTCCCTTATTTACAGAGTTCTCTGACTGCAAAATGTCTTGAACTGGGGGCGGGGGGGGGGTGGTCATGGCAACAGTTAGAGCGCTTTTCTGAGGAGGGCAGAGCCACCGCCACTCCACTGGACGAAGCTGAGGCCACAGCGCTTTGCCTTGACTTGCTCTTCAGCTGCGTTATTTACTCCAGCGTCTTCCTTCAAACACGCTGTACATCCCGGGAACCACAACCAACTGCAAAAGTCCTTACAGAGTGAGCCTCATGGGTTAAGTCAACAGCTTCTTAGACAGTCATGTGCGTGACATGAGTAATGATACAGATACACCACACTGTTTACTTCTGAATCAAAGACTACATGCCAATGGTTAAGGCTGTCGGTTACCACATAAATGGAATGTCTAACCCCAAACAGAAAACTCACTCTATCCTTCATAAAGGATTGGAGATGGAAACAAAACCCAGATGACACAACGTGCCTTTCGAAGTCAATGAGCAGCTGAAAGCCTTGTTCCCAGCTGTGGAGGGAGAAGCTTAAATAAAAACATGTATACGAGGAGTAAGTGGACAGTGTGGGCACAGCACTGGCCACGCCTGTGAGTTATTTGGGGCCTTAGCTAAATGCTGTTCTAGGAGTAAAGGTAGCCGAGTCAGACCAACAGCATGCCGATGAAGAGACGGGGCTTTAATGGAGGAAAAGGGGTTGAGTCAAAAGTCTAACCAAGTGTAGGAACCAAGATTACGTCTCGTGTAGTCCAACTTCATACCTAACTAGTACAAAGGGGTTTCTCTAGATGCCAACTGACTACTCCAACTTTTTACCTTAATTAGTGTAACAAGGTTTTTTGACATCAAAACACCATTCCTCTCTGCACTGTGGCACAGTCTTTTCAAAAGGTCTCATGAATTAATTACTGCTGTCTCCCTAATTTTTAAAAAAGAAGTTTTGAGAATAAAATACTGAATTAGGGCTTTTCTTATTAGTGAACACACACTCTGAGAAAATCATTCTTGAGAATTAACAGTTTAAGCTAATAGAAATGTGGTATTTTTTAGACACATCTATAGTTAATGGATCATTATTTGGATACAAGTGTTCACACTGGTGCAAGAGCAGCGCTTTTGCACACCACAGCAATTAGCCTGGAGATGAGTTAAGAGGACAAAAGGCAGAGCCCAGGGGAAGAACGAAAGCAGTCTGAAGGGAGAGACTCAGGGAGAAGACAGTCTCTCTGGATGACAGGTGGCTATTCTCACAGACACACACACCCTCAGCAGTCAAGTCTTCAACACTGAAATGAAGCATTTAACATTCAGCTAATAAGAAACTTTATGAATACTGAAGCCTAAAACCATTCAAATATTAGTCATTTTAACCTCAAATATGTTCATAAACTCCTACTTCACAATATCAAACATCAAACCAGGGTTTAACAGGCTGCATCTTAATCTTATTCACTGATGCCCTAACCTATAGGGGGGGGGGGGGGGGGGGGAAGGGGGGGGGGGAGTGTTAAACCAGCTGAGAGTCAAGATGCTGAGAATTCCAGGAATGTGATTCTACACACTTTTAAGCTCATGTCTGTCCTTTCCCGATTTGTTAACGCTGTGTCTCCCAGGAGCTTCTCCGCATCGCACTAAACAGTGTTCCTGTTCCTAGGAAGCCTGTCTCCAAGTCTCTGCAGCCACATGACGGAACCGGAAGGGTCTGTATACGTCCCTCAACCCAAGCCTGGGCACGGGGAGAAGGTGGTCCTTCTCCGTCGCCGCATCTCAGATGGAAACGCAGAGTAAAGGACAAGGAAAGCAGTGAGCGGACACGCCCAGTGGGAACACTGATGGCCTGATCTTCCAATGGCTGGTAATATGGCCACTCTATAGGGTGGTAAAGAATGCCACTAACCTATCGCCTACATTAAATGTTATTTGGGGGGGGGGGGGGGGGGGGGG